TCACCACACTGGCTTCCACACAAGACTAATCTGACTCTTGACACCTTATTTGAAAGTTCCAGAAGAGAATGCATTTCAGCTTTTGCACATTGTTCAAAATCATATTTACTCTTTGTTTTTATAGTTGGAATAAGTTTATAAACATTTTCTTGTCTAGATGGTATATGCACCAACCATTGCATGTTTTGTTCTTTCTGTGTACAATGCAATGAACTGAGAGATTAGAAAGAAGCTAACCTTTAAATTAGAGCACAGTCAATTACCGTCTGTTATTTCTCTGACCTGCCTGAGAGAAATGACAGATGGTGCCATGAAGATAATTCTTTTCCTATTAAAAATGTCTACAACACAGTTATAAAAATGGAAAATATGAATCTGTAAACAGTATGTTTTTCATTTTTTAAAACCAGATTTAAATTAAACCAGTTCAAAGTACACTGAATACACTTTTATTAATTTTAGAGTGGTGTATTTCAATTTAGCATAAACTTGCTTCTAATTAATTTAAGCTGTATCAACATACTCTAGAATGATGTTGATGTAAGAGTGTCCACAAAGCTTTTTGCATCAATTTAACTAAACTGATTTTAAATCATACCTTTAGTGTGTACACAGAGCCTGAGATAGAGAAGACTTATTTTTTTCCAATGTCCTATACCTTGTATTGTTGTTCACACCTGTGCAAAGTGGGTGTAAAATGCTACCAAATCAGAATGATAGAGTTTTACACTCCTCTGCACAGCTGTAAATGACTACGCAAGTTAGTGGGGAACCAGGCCTAGAGTACAGAATTACAAACGATGAAACAAAGATACAGTATTCATAGATACAGAGTGCTAACCTTCTTGAAGCTAGTGGATCTTTCTCTCATTTTTGCTTTAGTCATCACTATGTGATCAGCACTTGATGGAGGATGTAAGCAGGCTGTGGGCCACTCATGTATGGAAATGTTCAGTGGGAAAGGGAGGAGTATTTGTGATGCAATAACTTTTTAAAATGTTAAAATTGTGTTTTTACTTTCTATAGTCCAGAGGACAATAAAAACATTCCCATGCAAAATGGCCCGAAGCCTATGTGGGGAAAGAAAGATCCATGAAAATTTCCTTCCAGCCAACAAGTGCATTTTTCTAAACACAAAATAACTATCTAGAGTTGGTTGGAAAATTGGGGTGGCAGGGAGCAGGGGGGCCATGGAAAATTTCTACTTTTTTGTGGGGGAGGGGGAAATCAAGCCCCCAAACTTTCATCTGAAAACTAAAAACTTGGATCTGAAATGCTGCCACTGTGCCACATGGGAGTTGTAGTTCAGGTGCCTCAAACTCCTATTCTGTATGGAACAGTCTCCATCTCCCTTGAGGTACCACCTCCCCTCTTGTCGAGCCATTGTTGTGCCTTATGGGAGTTCCATTTCCATGGTGCATCATGAGAGGTGGAGTTTGGCCATGGAACCTAGCCCATAGAGGAGAATGAGATACAGAAACTATAATTCCTACAAGGCACCATGGAAGCATTTCCTAACTGAAATTGTTTAGTTTTCAGCTGACATTTTTCACTAAATATTTAGGCAAAAATCCAATATTTCATCAGAAAATGTTCAACCAGCCCTACTAATATCCCATTAACTTGCTGAATTTAATGTTTTTTTTATTAAAGTTACAGTATTAAACAGTATTTTATTTTATTACAGTATTAAAATATTATTCATGTAATATCTAATTTTTGGTCATGTATATTAAGTTGGAAGTCCATTCCAACTATTTATCATTCTGTAAATTAATACCTCAAATTATTTCAACATATGTTCCCTCTCTCAACTTAAACCTTTATCCCCTAGTTCTGGTGTGCCCAGCAACCACCAATAATCAGGATTAATTAATAATCAGGAGGTAATAACCCTCAGCTAAATCATGTCACCCTTGAAGCATCCTCTCTCAAAACTAAATAATCCTAATTTTATCAATCTAAGTACAACTCCTTATTCCATTTATCCTCTTTGTTGCCTTACCCTGTTGTGTCCTTAATTTAATCATAGTTTTCTTCAAGTAAGGTAACCTAAACAACACTGTGCCCCAAAGGCAGTATAACCAATGCTTTATAAGAGAGAGAGCACAATATCATTAGACTTTTATTGTCAAGCCAGTATCCTGTTAGGAGGGTACAATGGAAAGGACTTGTGGGACAAGTGTATTCTAAGGAGGAATTTGCACATGTGGAGGGAAGATCCAAGCCTAGAATATGGCATGATAGATTGGGCAGCTCAAATGAGAAGTTTGGGAGGAGTACAGGCAGCAAGATGGGGATCTTGAGCACATGATATCCAAAATGGAGGCAGTGACAGAGTTGTACAGAGCTTTGAAGGAGATGGGAGCCCAAATCAGAACTGAGTCTTGGGGCTCTGGTTCATATTTGGGATTTTTAAACCCCACAGTTTGGTTTGCTTAAAGGATTTTTACTTACAATAGAAAGGAGAACCAACTGTAAGGCTTAGGTTCCAAACACCTCAAAGTTCACATCCAGGATTATGGTTCATTGCCATCTCTACTCTGAATTTGACATGGGAGGTTGAGGGGATGCCAGGGAAAGGGTTTCAAAGAGGGAGGTGACATGGTCAAAATGGCAGATGATGTTTTTAGCAGCAGCATTTCAAAAGACTGGAGGGGAGCGAGGGAAGATTTCAAGATGACATTCTCTTTTCTGGTGACCTTTTCAAACTGCCCTAACACTTCTGTTTTTCAGTTCTCTTGATTTCCTATTCCAGTGAAAACAGTTTTTGATACACTGAAATATTGTATTAGTTGATAAACCTCTGAGCATGTTGCCAATTTCATGCACATATATTGTTCATCTGAAACATGGGATATAAAGGCTTTTGATCTTTTACATGTACAGTAACTGTTTTTTTTTAAAGTAATTTTGATTTCAGATTTTAAAAGCACTCTAACCTTTTACTGAAATTCATTGATGCAGGCACAGTGACAAAATGAGGACAGACACATACATGGAATGAAATAACCGGCTGCAACTTTTATTAAACTTTAGCACAGGAGAGGGGCGCTACCTGCCATCACCCATACTCTCGTATACCAGACATTTAATTGGTTCCAGTGTGGAAGTTACATGGATCTTTACCATATAACCCGTAACTTGGGGTAGGCTCTCCTCAGAATACACCCTTGGACTCAGCTCTCTCTGAGTACTAGCATCTCCTCCTCCCCAACCCACAGGAGGAGAACAGAGGGTGCTGTAGGGTGAGGACCTTGGCCTGCAAGGGCCACAAGGTCTCCCCCTATCCTGTGAGCCCAAGGCCCATCACCAAAATCCCATGTCTTTTACGAACCGTTCATTTTATTCTCTTAACCACACTGGTAACTGGCTGCAAGTTGCAACAGATAACAACTCAACCCCCAAGTACCTCAGTTACGTTCCATGCATGTTCCTGGCTAGGAGGTGCTGTGAATAAGGCTAAAAAACCTTCCTGGTCCTCCTCCAATTGGCCTATGGGAGAAAAAATTCCTTACTGACCCCCAAACAGGTGATCCGCTAGACCTGCAGCTTCTGTCAGGATGGATTCTGACAGATGGGTAGGGTGGCCTGCTGGAACAGAGCCAAAAGAGGCTCCACTTGGCCCCCATCCTGGGAGCTCGGGAATGCTGGCCCAGTGACTGCCAGAGACTCCTTCCCCCCCAGCTGGCCAATGACTGCCAGAGACTTGTGGCGGGAGGAGCTACCTGGTGTTTCTCAGCAAGGGTCTCCCTTGCTAGCTGCTGGGACTCCCCTTTCACTACTGGCCCCATCAAGTTCCCCCACCCATTGAGGCAGGTGGGTGGCATTTCTCCTGCTGCCTAAACCATCTGAATGTGTGAGAATCCCTTTAACAAGACAAAAGAATTAGTTTAACTGAAATGCTCACACTTTGTATTGTACCAAGGCATGATGCGTCAAATTCAGATTTTAATTTGTCAAAACCCAAATCCATTTGGATTTAATTATTATGGCTCAGCTGTTGATTTGGATATCATTTACATAATCTCTTACCATTTTCCTTCATCTCCTTATCTCTCTTTTACCTCCATCCCACCCCCTGTCAGTCCCCTCAAAAATTGTTCTGTCAACAATTTATTCCTTTGGGAGAACTGTGTGATACTTAGAATCTAATTATTCCTCTGCCCGTCTCTTCAGAAATATTGAGATATTCTAGCTGAAATCAATTATTTACCTGATTATCTAGTTATCCAAGGTTAAGTTCAAATGATTCTTTTACGGCACAATTCTGCTCATGGATGTTTGTGACACATCTCTGACTTCCCAAGTGAACACATCAGTGACAGAACTTGGCCCTTTCAGAGCACAGTTTGATTTTTGTAAGAGACTTGCTTTCCTTTCCAAATATACATCCAGCCAATTATTAGTTACAGGGAAACAGAAGATTTTTGTCTGCTTACATTACATATGAATGGTGTGCTGTGCCCATTAAATCTGCCAGATAATCTGCATATTTTTTGTAGAGAAGGCTGCTAATAAATACACATTTAAAATGTTATTTTTATTTAAATTTCAGTGGTCTGTGTTAGACTAGTAATTAATATTAAGGCCATTCGTTGCAGATACTAGGACAAAGCTTATTTTAATGATGCTTAATTAAAACTATGAAAATATGCACAAGAGACCACACTTTTAAGGCAACCTTCTTAAGACAATTCCCAAATGTATAGAATACTATTCTATTCCTCCTTTATTGGAATACCACTTCTGCTAAGCAATCCATTATTGTTGGTCACTTAATATGTTTCACTTTACTTGAATCATGAAGTGTTTACAGGAAAATATATCTTGCTATGTTTAAGAAAGCTCTTGAACCAAAAAAAAAAAAAAAAAAGTAAAATGGTTTCTTCCCAGGAGAAAGAGGAAAGATTTAAATCTAGGGTCCTGAAAAAGGTGTGATCTCTAGCATTCTAAGGTCCAGGTATCTTGGAAACTGAATTTGTCTCTATTGTTTGCAGGAGTGAAAGAGCTCGCTGGATTACTGCACTTGGACAGAACAGTGACAGACGGAATGCAGACAGGACAAGTAAGTGAAAGACAAGAAGACTTTTCAGAGCCTTAACGTGAAAACAGAAATCTACTGCCCCTCAGTGGATAGCTTGAATAAATGTAGACTGTAAGAATAAATGTGTTTCCTTCCAAAAAACAAATTATCCAGATTTCCTTTGCGATGTTGTTGACCTTCTGTGGATGCTGTTTATCAAGAGCTTTTCTGAGGAAGTTTTTTCAGGGTTTTTGTGGTACAAGGAGTTATTTTACTTGCATTCATTAAAACTGGTTTGGCCAGTTGTATCAGCCTATTAGTGACTAGGTTGAGAATGCAAGCTGATTTTATGTCTGACCCAAATTCATGTTTGTGTGTAGCTCCCCATGGGGAAGCCAGCATGTTTAATGTGCTCCATTACTGAGCTTACTTGGGTTGTTTTGTTTTGGCACATTCTAAAATGGGATGTTAAAATGACTTTTTTGTGTATGTTGCTAAAATATAAAGGTATTCAGTTGCTTATACACATCATGTGGTTCAATATATCCTATTTCTTCCTTAGCACTGACACAGGTAGAGATTGTCAGAACTTACTCTGCAAAGCAGTCAGATGAACTATCCCTTCAGGTTGCTGATGTGGTTCTGGTTTATCAAAAAGTGAATGATGGTGAGTAAACAGTTTTGCGATTAGCTACCACCAAGATAGATTAGTCAAGCTGGGAAACAGAGTCCTAGAGAATTCAAGTTTCCATCTAGTATCAGCTCCACAATGAAATGGGGTGTCAGCCTAGAAGAAACGCTACAGAAAGCCATAGGATTAGGCCCAGGTTCTTGAAGGACAGCCACTCTTTATGCAGGCATTGTGGCCACATTCAAGTACATTTCCATCCAACTCAGAGGATTTGCATAGATAATTAATTGCAGGTGCAGCAATGTGGGTATGATTTTTTTTTCCAGGAGCCATGTGCCCATCAATAAGAAACTAGGTTAAGGGCGCTTTAAAAATCTGGCTTTCAAGAGTCATCATTGCTTTGTGAGCAATGTACTTGTTGATTTGTCTGAATACTCCACACATTCAAGGTATTTACATCTTGTGCTGTGCTTCAGAACGTTGTTACTCTCTAAGGGGTAGTCTTGCAGCATGTGAGGCAGGGACTGTCATTTGTTATGTAAATGTCAGTCACGTTGGGGCCCAACCTGGTTATTGCTACCACAATAAAAATGTTAATAACAATGCTGAGCATGTCCTGCTGAGTACAGTCAACTCACAATAGCTTCAGTGGGACTTGAGTGCTCAGCACCTTGCAGAAGGCAACCCTTAGCTCTAACCCAGTTGTTTACTCTCACTTACAAAGAGTAAAAAATAAAGGAAAAACCTCCTGCTGACTTGTTAGTTTATATTCCTGAGATCCAAAGACGGTCTGTGGTTTTCAAATATACTGTATCTTTACTGCTTTATTTTTATTATTCCTAATCTGCATGCACAATGTTTCCAAATAACATGGTCTGTCTATACCTGATATTTTACTCATTGTAAACATAGCCATATTACAGATGCAATGACAGACTGTGTGTACAGGAGTCTCTCTATAAACATGCCACACACAGTATCTTACACATGTATTTATTGTTGACTCCCCATTCTCCCTTGCAGGTTGGTATGAAGGTGAACGATTGCGGGATGGTGAGAGAGGCTGGTTTCCAATGGAGTGTGCCAAGGAAATCACATGTCAAGCCACAATTGACAAGAACATGGAACGGATGGGACGTTTGCTTGGACTTGAAACAAATGTATAGAGTCCCTAAAATCTATTTTTTCTTTGCTTCAGGATTTGCACTAAGGGCCCTCAGTGGTGGCTTGATTTTGTGCTTATTGTCCCACTATAGCTGTAGCGTGGGAGCTGTGAATCAGAGATTTGTAAAATCAGTGATACGAGGAAAGGCGGGGGGGAGGGAGGGAGTCAGCCGCTCACTGTGTATCCAGGCTACTTTAAGTTAAAAGCCCCTAAAAAGTAAATTAAAATTCTAAAGTTCCCATAACAAAATGCAGGTGACATCTTTAGATAGTCCCCTCTTCCTTGTTTTACAGTGTGAGAGAGCTAACTGAGTCAAGGTCTTATCTGCACTGAATCCTAACTGGGATTGAGTGGTAGGCTTTGGAGAGCAGCTCCACATATCTTTGACTTCACCTCCCTTTGTCTTTAGCTGCGCCACTCCCTCTACCTTTATGTGCTGTTTCCTCACCCACACCCGTCCAACCACACAAACACACTTTTTTTTTCTTGTTTGTTTTTTCAGTCATTTAAAAACACCTTAGCTTCCTCTGGCAAGGCCGACCACCAGCCACCCACAAACATGTTGCCCTGCAAGCAAGCAGCAGCAGCAACAAACTAATATTTGGGGATTTCCCACTCCTCAAGGGAAAGTTTCAGTGCTGTATTGCTAGCACAAGATGGTGATATGAGTGGGGATAAATAGCAGCTCTCTAGCCCCTCATATGGCCTAAAATGGAACCCGTGAGCACGCACTGTATAAGGTGCTCCCTCCCCAGTAAGACCAGAGAAGACATATACCAAGTAAAAAGATGTTCCACTAAGTTAAGAGTGCACAGCTCTCTACTTTTGTAATATAAGAGCATTATATTCTGTTGGGTCTTCTCATCTTTCTCCTTGTGGCTCTCTGTCTACATCTATCTATATGTCTGTTTTAATTAAGGGTTTTCATAACGTTAGATTACCTCTTGTGTTCATCCTTTAAAACCTTAGCTCCTTGGGCTTTCTCCTCCCCAATGATGGCTTCTTATTTCACACACATTATTTTTTTTTAAATGCTGTCATTTGAAAAGCAGTGATTAAAGTAACTCTGTCCCAGCTAGCAAAGCTAATGTGTTCTCCAGGGACTGAGCGGGGAAATCCAGAATGGTTTTCTGTTGGTCTTTTTCGATGATGATGATGTTTCATCTATTCAAGCAGCTCAGATTTTGTTTCCTTCCAGTGTTGTTTCAGTGTTCAGAGTGCCAGGAAGGGTTTTCAAATCAAGAAGTATGCAGTCAACTTTTGTAGTGTGGGAAAGTAAGCTTGGTCTCCGAGGCTCCAGCCTCCATTCCCAGAACAGACCAGCCATACGGTACGTCTACCCTTTTAGCTGGGGATGTAATTCCCAGCTCAAGGAGACTTACTCAGGCTATTGCCATTGAGTTAGAACAGTCAAATCAGAACATAGCCCTGGTAGCATGAGCAACAGGACGGGTTAGCCACCCTGAGTACGTGCCCGTCAGATACCTTAGCTTGTTTCAACTTGTTCTTTGTAAAAAAAAAATATTCTCCATAAGTATAAGCAGCTCTGTGCTCTGCTCTGCTCCTCTGTGTCCCTGCTAGAAAATCAGATTGCCTGACTGACAGTGTTAGAATTCTCTCCAAGCTTATCCAATTCCACACAGTATTTCACTGGAGCCCCACGCCAGCTGATTCCGACACCTTCTCTTGTGCCGTTTCTCTTGCCTTCCCTGAGCCCTGTTATGCACAGAATAAACTAATTTTCTGTGCTCTGGAGCACACACATGCACATGCTCATTTGGTGTCTGTGGAAGCTAAACACAAGCTGAGACGTAGGATTTGGCTCCCACTATTGTCCATTATGGTAGCATTACAGTATCTTTTTGAGCAGTTTGCACTTTTATACATTTACAGACACATTTTTAAAACTTATGCTGTAAGTTGTGGCTACAAAAAAATGCTCAGTTACACAGTTGCTTTTGAACACTTTTGCAGAGGTATCTTAAGATCTGAATTTTACCAGTTTGTGTCTTAACCTCCACTCCCACAGGGTAAGGATTATAATGCTGAATTCTTGGTTTATTTTGAAAATGCATGAGGATGTTGATCTCGGGGAAATATTCTATTAATCATTTCATTTCAATTCCAGTTTTGCCTATATCTTTTAACTAGGATCTCAAGATGTGTTGTTGCTTCAGTTCAAGGTTTTGTCGGGAGAGTGGAGTGCTTTTTAACATTTTTCCACTTCTGTAGCAGAGGTGGTAAAATTCATTTCCTGTTTTTTGTTGAGGAAGGAGCGGGAAAAAGGTATCTGAACCAGAACTCCAGGATACCTTCACCTTCAGTCCTTGTTACATGTTAATTACTACAGGTACAGGAAGGGAAAAATGTATAAAAGAGCAGCACTAGTATTGACTTAAACTCTTGGTCATACAGTTCATACTGGAGAAGATGAGAAGGCCTGGCAATTGAGGGAGGATTTGCAGGGAGTATAGAGTAATATGATGTTTTGTCAACTTTGCCCTCCCATTCCCAGTTGTGACCTGACCTGTTGTGCACATGATGGTGGGAGAGGGACTAGTAAAAGCTCACATTGGTGTTGCTGAACACATGTTCTCCTTTGCCTTAGAGAGTACCTGTCATGATTGTACTCCAAGCATCACTGCCAAATTTTGCATCTTCAGCTTAGCCTCGGAATTTCATAGGAGAAACAACCATTTAATGTTGTCTGACCAAAATGCACTTGTAAACAGGAAATAATTTTCAAAACATCTTTTCTGTAACTAGGTGTTGTGGTTTGCACACTGTATGTATTATAAATATGTTAATCCTTTTTAAGACACAGCTGATCACTCGGCAGGGTTGAATAAACGTTAGCACAAAAAATGAGGTAAAAACTTATAGTAGAAAGGCTTTCTGCTTGTAATATTTTCACTCCATTTTTTGGAGGGGCTGCATGCTGTAATATATACTGTAATATGTTGAAGATTTGTAAATGAATGTAATGTTCTTAAGGTATCCCTGTAACAACTACACTTAAAAATATATTAGAAAAGCAATAGTTTTGTATAAAGTAATTTGAAGATGCCCAACCTTGGAAATTTGACACGTGGTTATATACCCCTGTGAATTAATTTATAAGTGGACAGATGAAACTGTAATTTTGTAAATTGAACAAAATGTTATTTAACATAGGCAAAAGTACTGCTAATTTTTTAACAAATAATTTAAAAAAACCTACTGTATACAGCCAGATGTTTAACACAGTAACTGAATGTATAAATCCAGATATTAATTTTATTCAGGTTTTTAAATACATTGTATATATTTTTCACATCTAGTTTTTCCAAATGTTTTTATAAACATTTTATAAATGTTTCCATTTCTCCTTTTATCAGATACAATTCTGCAGGAATTAGACATCAGTGACTTTATAGGACAACAATCAATAAAATGCTTTTTAAAAACTTTACTAAAAAAAGCTTTTTGCTGAAATTAGTTCTGATCTTTTTAACCTTTGTCTTTCTTGTTTAAGACAGAGCCATAATTTAATTGGACCTTATGCACCTTGCTGCTAAGATGGATGAAAGTCTAGGAGCCATAAATAGCGGAGAGCAATAGCTCCATGGCATACTTCTCCCTCTACCCCAGATCCATGGGATTTGGACTCCCTGAACTTAAGGGAGAGGCATGTCATGGTGGGAGGGCCAGGGGATAACTACTCTCTGTAGGATCATGCTTCTACAAACCACAGCATTCTGTCTGCCAGTGATTGCACTGGATAGCATTGGAAGAGGCTGGGTACTGTTCAGAGGTACCTTTGCCTGCTTGGATGTCCCAAGAACCATCGAATTTCCCTGTAGCTCTTGGGACATCTGTAGATTTGATGAGTCTTGCACATACCTGCCTATAGAAGGTTAATTGTGGCGTGGTGACCCTCCTCCATGTTTTTTCTAATGCTTTGAAGCTATAAAGCATGATAACAAAGCTAATTACTTTTAAATGTCTCATGGGATTTTTTTTTGAATGGTTGTGAGAGTTATAGAAGTAGAAAGTTTCTTGGAATGTCGATGGAAGTCCTGATACTTCTCTCTCCCAGTTAGGGTGACCAGATGTTCCGATTTTGAGCAGTTTGTCCCGCGTCCCGACCAAAGTACTGTCAAGACACCATTTGTCCTGATATTTTGTTTCTGGCGGTTTTTTATTTTTGTTTGTTTGTTACACTCACCCATCTGGCGGGTCCCTCAGTCGCTGACAGTCTTTGGCGGCATTTCGGTGGTGGGTGCTTCTGTCTTTGGCGGCAAGACTTATTACCCTCTGCCGAAATGCCGCCGAAGACTGTCAGCGACTGAAGGACCCTCCGCCAAATTGCCACCAAAGACCCAGATGGGTGAATGTAACAATTAAAAAGGCACCCCCCTTGCGGCGGTCCCCATATTTTAAAGTTAGCATCTGGTCACCCTACTCCCAGTGCCAGATGCACAACTGTATGATAAATGAAAGGCCTGATTTCTCTCCCTTACCCACTTTTTTTTGGTGTGCAAGCAAGAGCAGAATAAAGCCCTTAAGTACAGTCTATATCACTTAAATAGAAAAGTTAACTATTTTTGCTGTGTAAAATTTTACAGATAATTTTCTTAAAAGAACGGATTAAATTTTTTCCAAAAATAGATATTTAAAACTTCCCTGTGAAATGAAAATTTATGGAAGCAGAGATACGGGAAATTCAGGAGACCAGTGTCTAAGATCCCTAATAAGTAGAACTGGGGAATAAGTTAATGCATGCGTTGGCACAATTGCCTACATTCAACTTTTGTGAAATTATTTCAAGAGATCGGGACTTGCCTTAGCTGTCATTTGTAAATGCAGTGAGAGCATTCCTGCAGCAGTTTGTTGGGATAGGATGTCATCAGTTATCCGGTCACATGATACAGATTTAGGCCTCAAATGGTATTCATGTGGATCCTATCGTAGGATGAGGGCCTCACATTTTCACAATCTTCTGAACGTGCACAATACTCGTTTGCCACAGGTGAAAATATAACAAAGATTCTATCCAATAACTGCCAGAAAACAAGAAATGTGCAGATAACCTTCTACCTTTGTTGCCTATACCTTGACCTAGGGCCAAGTAAGTCTCATAATAGATATTCTCAGCAGGGGAGAATAATTTCAAATTATGCCAGTTAGATGTTACCTTGGAGATTTTGGTCATTGTCCTGAAGGTTCACAGATTGTAAAAGCAGATACCCCTACTGAGGAATAAACATAGATACTTGCCTGAATTCCAGAAAGAAGAAGCAACCAAATGTGCTGCTGCAAAGAAATAAGGCGCCAGTTCTGGGAAGACTCAAGCTGGTGACCAACAAGCCGAACGAGGGGAGCTAGAAATAATGATACAAGAAGTACCAGACCTCAGCATTGTTGTGGATGCTGCGGTGATGTGCACAATATTAAATACCAACCATTGGGAATTACATAACAAATGTCATGTCCTGCAGACCTTCCTACAGCCCCCTAAAAACAGCCTTTCTCCCCCCAGAGACAACTTCAGTAAACAAATCTTCACAGCAGAGTACCACCTCTCTGTAAGAGAAGGAGGGCAAATCCCCAAACAATAAGGTTGTGCAACAGGAGGGAAAAAGTAAAGGGTAGTAAAAATTGGGACCAATTAATCTGTTTCTTAGCCTTTCCTGAGCAAAACTACAACCCTTGACCTCCTACAGTTGTTGGCCTCTTTGCCCTCGGTGACGTTCATTCTCCAATTTAAGAGGAACTAAGCCAAAATTGTTACGGATAGCCAAGCCAAATACCTTTAAGAGGACAGCAAGAAAGCTGAATAATTACAGTGACCATGAGACAATCCTCCCCCACCAATGATAGGAGAATGGGAGAAATACTCTTTCTTCAGGATGTCTTGACTCCATCTACACACTGACCAAAGCCCGCTAATGCTTCAGCCGAGTTCTTGGTGCCTAAAGAGCATGGCATATATTTATTTCCCTTCAGTCTCATTGATGGCTGCATGACCCCACTACCTAGAAATACATCCTTATTGACCTCTCGGTGACCCCATCTGCATCCAAACTGATCAGCAGCGACTTATGCATGACCCTGACTTCCCCCAGTGTAGCTCCCACATGTGACTCCACTAACTGGATAATCCGCCTCATTAACCCACTACCTGCAGACAATCTTTTCTGAACCCCTCCAAGACCCTGACTACTTCCAAAATTAGCAGTGGTTACCCCCTACTACTTTCCAGGCTTACTTTCCAATGTTATCACCACTGCCTTGATATTCAATGTCATTGACACCCTGCATGCCTCCACTACCTTCAGACATTCACTTAACCCCCCCCCCCGCTGCCAAAATAGTCATTTGTGACCCCACTGCCCTGATACGCTGATACGCATTCTCATTGACCCCCCCCCACACACTCACTTCCTCCATTCACTCCTTTCTTGACACCCTGAGTATCGCCTCTTTATTCCCTATCCACTGCCATTCGCATACTATTAACTGATTTTTGAAAAAACATTCTCTTAATGCAAGCTAATTTGAGGGTTCATTTAGAAACATAACTGTTGCCATAGCAGAAGACATCAGTGGCCCATCTAGTCCAGTACCAGGTCTCTGACAGGGGCCAGTAGCAGCTGCTTCATAGGAAGAAACCCTACACTAGACAGTTTTTCTTTGAGTGCTTGCTCATGTGTATGCCACAGGAGGTGTGCATGCTTGCCAGGTGCACCCGTGCCGGAAATTTTCCCCCTAGCAGTACCCGTAGGGGGAGCGCCACTACAACCCCTGGAGTGGCGCCTCTATAGCGCTATAAGGGGAACTGCGTGCTCCCCCCACCCTCAGTTCCTTCTTGCCACCAGTGAGGGTTCGTCGCAACTACTGCTCCAGCTTTGCTG